TGTTTTCTTCTTTATTTCAAATTCTAGCCTATAAGTGGGGGGCTTCAGTCCGTGGATAATCAAAGGCAGTGTGGGGGGGAGGGAGTTTAGCAGTCAACACTTCTCAAACAAACCTCTCTTTGAGATCTTTAAATAGTGCACATTTGAAAATGGCTATAATCAAGCTGCTGTAGTCATTGTGGAATGTATTTTTACTCTCGTGTCCTCCAAAGGACCAAAATTCCACAATGTCATGAGAACGTTTAAAAGGATTAACTGTTGGATATAATAGCACCAGAATGCAGTTTATAGTCTCGACAAGCAAGTGGTAAACAAGATAAAGAAAAGAAGAAAAAAGATGCCTTTAAGATTCCATCCAGCCTTTCTGGACAGAAACAAGAGTTAAATATTTGCATAAGAATCTTTCCTACAGACAGAGATTCACGTACATTAAGGCTAATACCTGATTAAAAAAAAGAACAATTTTAATCCTATGAGTAAATTAGATCAAGAGCAATGGATAGGCAGGAGTGATAGTAATACTGTAATCTGATTGAGGAGTTCAGATTGTCTGTAAACCGTAAAAGCAAAGCTTGAACAATGTAGAACTTGACAAAGCTGCAAAACACACAAACGAGATCCAATATTTTATAGATGGGGGTGTAGAATATATGAGCTTTGGCATGTCCTCGTGACATGAAGAGTGCTATATAAATGTAAATTTTATTTTAAGAGCAAAGAGGCAAAGCTAGACCTGTAAAGATCATTGGTTAGGCTATAGTGCGACTACTATGACCAGCTTCTGGCATCCAATATTACAACAAGTTGTATTTATCTCTTCAAATAAGGTAACATCTCAGAGCACTTAAAACTTTAGAAAGAATGTCAAGTTCATGGAGAGGGTACAGTAAACATTCACAATGGATTGGAGGAAATTTGAAGAAACTGTTCTCACCAGAACCTTTGAGAGGAGATTTGATAGAAATGTTCAAAATTATGAGAGCTTTTAATTAAATTTCTGCCCTTTCATACAGCACAATATCACATCAAAATGGCTCATAGTTCTTTACAGGTAATCACTGCCGAGTGCAGTAACTGGTTTTGTTGGCAAATATCACAGCCATTCTGCAAGCAGCCGGATCCTACTAATTGCCATATGATTGACCCAATAATGGAAATTTGTTGGGCAGGACAGACTGGATGCTGCAAAGTTGTTTTAAAAAAAGTGCTGATTCCGAGACATGGCTCTTTGCTTTTAGCCTCCATTGGAACAAGCATTGTGGTAGCCTCCAGAGGCTGGCTTATTCAACATAGGCAGGTGAAAGGGCAATACTGTATATCAACAAGATAAAGAATTAGTTATTTTCTCCATTGCTCATTATGGGACACAGCTGTATGCACATTGCACCCCATGTTCATTGACAATCAAACAGTCGTTAGGCATCAACCTGGCTTAGTTGGTATCACTCTTGTCTCTGAGTCAGAAGGTTATGGGTTCTAGCCCCACATCAGTTAGATGTTAGAGATCCATGGCACTGTTCGAAAAAAGAGAAGGCAGTTTATCTTGATGACCGCTTCATTCGTCCCGCCGGATGAAATTTGATCATTCACTTCATGGCTGGAAACTGGCTGCCATGTTTGCCTGCAAAATACATAGTCACTACACTTTGCAGTGAGTCCTATGAAGTGCTTTGAGACAATCTCCTGACATGAACAACAACTTGCATTTATATAGCGTCCTTTACACGGGACATGAAAGGTGCTGAATGCAAGGATTTGTATGGTAATTATCCCCACACTTTACAGATACTGCTGTGAGCGTTTGAGACATTTTGAAGTGATAAGGTGCTGTATCAAATGCAATGATTGTTATTTTAATATACTTCAGATTACTTGCTGTGCTTCAGCTATAATAAAGACACAATTTCCAAATACAGGTGGGATTATATACAAGTAATTAATTGGCTGGGTTTAGCTATTAAACTGACTGTTAAGAGCTGCTAACAATTATGTAAACAATCAGAGCAGTCGTCTCCTTCAGGAATCGTGCACAAAATATTTGACTAGCATTGCATAAACATGTTTTAGTTTGTTTAACCACTGAGCAATTTACCTCATTCTTGATAACAACCACAAGCAAATTTCTTGGAAAATCCTTGATTTTCAGACTAAATAATTATTAGATTGTGTTACGTTTTTAAATTCATTTGATGAAGTTCAGGAAACAAATTTTTAATCTGAAAAATTCCCAGTGATTTAAACAATTGCATTCAAAGAAACACGGTGACATCAAAGCTGTGAGATACCGCAGCCCTTACTACCTACTCTTGCTGTTATGTTTCACTTCCCTATTCTGAGTCCAATTCAATTGCAAAACAAGGTAAAGGAACTCAGGAATGTGTAGGAACCAAAAAAACTATTGCAGTGCATTTGACAGGTCTCAAGGCAGTGGAAGATATCAATATGAAAACAGCAGAAAGAAAGACTAAATTACACAGTTGGTAACTGCATTTATATGAGGTGAAACTTGTGTTTCGCAATTCATTCAATGTGTCACATCAAAAACATATTAAAATTCTAAAATTTAACCCCTGTATTTTTTTATAAAAAGCTGCCTTTCAACAGTGTATTTTCAGGCTGTACACTGCTTTGTACTAAATAGTGCAGTGTCGGTTCACAGAACATCTACAAGTGAACTCGTTCTCAACTCTGTATACGAACAGTGTTATCCTGTATTTACGTGTCGTATAAGAAAAAATCAAAGCTGGGCTGTACAGCTGAATGTCCTGCCAACACTCACTGGCTAGGCTGCTGCATGAATAAAGGGGTGCATGAGAGTGTTTGGTGTCCATACAATCATATCCCTGTCAGTCTGTTCAGCCAGGAAGGGGAGGATATTGGGCATGATCTAAATCTGTAGATGCAGCCCAGCAACAAACCACACACCAGCTGCTCTATATCTCCCACAAAGTTGAACAATATTTATAAACACTTCCAATGCTTACTGCCGTACTAAAATCTATTCCCTTCCGCTTGGTTAATTCGGGCTTGTTTCACCACGTCACCACCCCACTGCAGCACCATCGATGGTTGAGCTTTTAGTTACTACATTCTAACCTCTGAAACTCACTCTCTTTACCACTCCATCTCGCCACCCTCTCTATCTTAAATTTGATCTTAAAACCTGCCTCTTTGACCATGCTTCACTTTCACTCTCCCTAGCTTCGTGTCCAACCCTGTCTTTGTATCCTTTGTGATGGACGTTATATAAATCAAGTTGTTGTTTACATTGGCACAATGTAGTTACTATACTAAATTAGCTTGGTAATGTACAATACAATACAAAATTACATTTGTGTGGCACCATTCACCTCGGGAGGACATCCCAAGGTGCTGGACAGTCAGGGATTTGGACCCGAGCTGGGGTTCAGGATCAGGGAGGGTGGAGGGCAGGGGGGAAGGAGGGTGGTCAAAGACTCAGCCAAAGAGGATGGTTTTGAGACGTGCCTTGAAGGAGGCAAAGGAGGGAGCGAGGCGAAGGGAATGTGGGATGGAGTTCCATAGGGTGGGGGCAGAAAAGCTGAAGGCCCGACTGCCAATGGTGGAGCAGGTCAGGCTGGGGATGTGGAGCAGGCTGAAGGGAGTGGGCAGATTGATATGGAGTCATATCATATAATCACTGATCATATACTGAGATCCATCTCAGCAGCATTTCATTATACTGTAAAATGAATCAAGTTAATCTTCTCTTTAGAGAATACTAAACTCACAGTCAAGATTCCCACTCTATTGCAGTCATGGGGGAGCACTGCATTATCGTTTGTGCCATCTTTTAATTGAAACATTAAAACAGTATTACCTCCCTTTTCAGGTAAATGCTAAAAATCCCATGATATTGTTCAAAAAGTGAAAGGAGCTTCTCCCAATGCTTTGACTCAAATTTTTCCAGCTAAGTTGGCTGTTCACCTCAGGGTGTTTTTGTGGGACTTTGCTGGAACAAATAGCTTCTTTCTTTGTCTACAAACCAGTCAGGTCTGACACGTCTTTACCTTTCCAATCACTTCACATTTCACTTCATTACCCATAGCCTTCATTCAGCTAGTTCAGATCTTCTTCATGTCCCTTGTCCGCTCTGATCTACCACAAGCAGCCATACTTTCATCCATCACGCCTTGAAAGTCGGGAATTCCCTACCTCAATCTTTCAACAACAACAAAAACTTCTACTAATGTAGTGGCCTCCACGCAGCGTAGCGTCTCAGAGCACTTAAAGTCTTGCCCCTCTTTGCTCATCTTCAAATGACACTGTACAACTTTCTTTGTCAACCATGTTTAACATCATTTCCTCTCTCTTTCCAGCTCACCATCAAACCATTCCAAGATATGTGAAGCACACATATGATTATGTTGTTTTTGCTATATATTTGTACGTGGACGTGCTTCCTCTGGTGTAACTTTAATCTGAATGGTAAATTAATTCTGGAATGTGGCGTGCTTATTGCCAGCTTAGAATTGCTTCTATATGCCCTCAGGATCTTGAGACATGCGGAGCGATGGTGTTGAGAGGTTGCCAGTCAGCCTGCGCAATAAATCTAGGTTCTCCACTTCAACTAAACTGACTCATCGTACAACCGGAACAGAAATTAGCAGTGTATAATTCAAGGAATTAATTCTGTTGGCTTCATCAGTGGAAATGGTTGATATGGATCGAACAAACCACTTACAACCATCCTCCCACTTGAAACCCCAGGAAATCACAGAAATGCTGTTAAAGCACAAAACTCTCCTCCATTCCTCACTGAAGCAAAGACTCCCAAACTAAAGTAGGATTTTCCAGAGTGGAAACTGCTTTAATTTTCAATTACATTTTCATTTGACAATGTGTGACAATGTTTTTCTTTAATAATTGTACAGTTATTATAGAACCCTTCCCCCCCACCCACCCCACAAATCCCTCCCCTCACACACATGTATAATAAGGCACACATCTTTGAGCAGTATTTCTGCATTGTGTTTCCTCAGGAAATAAGGGATGAGCGAGATCGGGCACGGCTGGATTCCATGGTGCTGCTGATCATGAAACTGGACCAACTTGATCAGGACATTGAGAACGCTCTGAGCTCCAACTCATCTCCATCCAACACACCCACTGTGAAAAGAAGGCAGATTCCTGTGAGCACATTTACTTTTCATGTTCTCTTATACGTCTGCTTTCTCTACTAATTCTGGGGAGAAATTCCATCTAGGTCTAGATTTACTCAATCTATGTTGGGTTCGGCGCTTTGGGACGTTCTCCTGACATGAAAGGCACTATACAAAAGTAATTTGCTGCTGCTGTTGTAAAGTGTCCAGAATTTGGTAAATTGTTGAGTTCAAACTTAATTTTCAGTTTATTTCTCTGAAGTTTTTAAAAGATTTTACAAAGAACCAGCTTCAAGATAAAGGCTATAGATGTCAGCTTGGATCAGCTGGTAGCACACTTGCCTCTGAGTCAGACGATTTGTGAGTTTAAGTCCATATTGGGAGTTCACAGTCTTGCTGATGCTCCAGTGCAGTGCCGGGGGAGTGCAGTTATGCAGGAGGTGGCCTCCTTCAGATGAGATGTTATACAAGAAGTCCTGTCTGCCAGGTGAGTGAAAGGAGTTTCTTTGGGTGTCTTGGCCAATAATCCGCCAAATAAAATAGGTCAATCACTTTCATCGCTGTCTTCAGGCCAATGCTATGCGTAAATTGACTGACACATTTGCCTACAACTACACAATCACTACACTCTACAGTAAAACCTGTGAAGCTCTTTGAGATGTTTGACAGTGTGATAAGGTGCTATATCAAATTCAAGTGCTATTATTTAAGAAACTGCCAATTCTGGATGCTCTAAAATGCTACGTTAATTGAGTAAATCCAAATGGTGATGGAATTTCTTAGTTAATATAATTGAGGTGCAAGGAGCAGCAGTTTTGGGGAACAGTTTTATAGTTGTGTGATGGCCGGTAAGAGAATTATTCAATGGTAGTTTTAATAGAATGGACAGAGAGTGATGGGCCAGCCTGGCGTCTAACACATCAACACAGGACACTGTTCAAAAACACTCAGCGTCAAGTACATTTACATCTAAACTCTCCCAAAACAGCAACTCCTTATCTCAGCAAGGTAAAAGTACCTCACAGAGTGAAAGAGCAACATGCCCCTTGACATTATAACATCCGAACTGCAGCACAGGCGGCAGGCAGGGCTCTGCTGAGATATTAATAGGTCCCTCAGCTCTCCGCAATTGGCCATAGACAAGTAATCAAAGTGCACCAGGAGAGACCCAGAAAGGGGACCACACAAGAAAAAAAACTACAATGTATTTTATTTTAGACAAAGGTAAATATTTTTTCTTGGGGGAGGGCAGAGGTTGCTCGGAATGCAATGAGTTCTGTATAATTGTAACTTTTTTTAATATCGACTCTATTATAAGCGGGTAGAGAAATTCCACCTGGGTCGAGGTTTACTCTATTTATTTAGCATCTTAGAGCATCTACAATTTGCCAAGTTATTAAATCCAGTCTTAATCTTGAAGCTACTTTTCTGTAAGTTTCTGTGGCACTATAGAAAGCTGACTTCAAAGTTAAGATTTAATTCAACAGTTTGCGAAACCCTGCATCCTGCACTTTAAAATGCTACAATGTACTTAAATAAGATAAATCTAGACCCAGGTGGAATTTCTTCCCATCGGCAGGTTATTGAACATTAAGTTCTGATCAAGGTTTCTACCCCCGTTTGAGCCTGCGTGCTGTAAAACAGAAGCAGAACAGGATTTCGTTCTAGGCTTTGCCTGCTGTTGAGAGATGGCGTCACACAGATGAGTTATTGTTTACAGATGTTGACACAGGTTTTGCTAGGTCTTCTGGGAGAGGAAACAGGAGTGAAATGCTGTGGTAATTGAAGTATGTAAGACATCATTCCAAAAATATGTAACAGTATGCAACACATAAAGAGATTCTGTACAGTCCCACAGTTTATATTCCATTTTTCTAATCTCCAAAATAGTTGTGCAATGTCAATGCAGTTAATAATAATAACGTTTGATACCGCATTTTTCATGTTGGGAAGATATCTTCAAGCACTTCACAGGATTTTGCTGTGACGTGTAGGGACTGCATATTTTGTACGAGAAAGCAGCAGCCAATTTTGCAGAAGCCAATGTTACACAAACTGCCACTGAAGTAGACTGAGAAACCAGACTGAGAGTTCCACTTATGCCACCAACACATGGAAGTTCCCATGTTTGGAATGGAATGTACACTCTCTCCCCAAAGCGATGCATCCTGCTTACCTAATTCCAAAGGGTATTGACAAAGAGTCTTGTCCAAGGTTGGCAAGAGCCAATGCTTGGGGTCCCCAGAGTGTGCATTGAAATACTGCTGCAATTTAACCAGACAAAATGCACAGCTTGCCATTGATAGCACTGTCTGACAAGCTTCCCACTGCTTGTTCAGTTAGGACCAGGGATAAATGGGCTTCGTGGGAAGAATCCCTGCCCCCAGTGACTGGTCTCTCTAGTCCAGCCGATGAACCAGGGGCTGTGCTATCATCAGCTGTGCCCTGGAGTACTGCAGACCCGCCTGGCTCAGGATCCAGACTATCAAGACTGCCACAGAAGGATGACTCGATTCCGACGTTCCATTGGCAGCCATATCACCTTGGAGCCAGTTCAGCTCCAAAGAAACCCTGCTTACCTTTCCCCTGCTTACCTTCCTTAAAATGTTGACATCGTGAGCTGAGAGCAGGGGCTGCTGCACCTTTTAAGCAAAGTTCATTTGTGGGATTTTTTGATCTATGGAGAACCATTACATTGAGCAGCTGCCAACTCAAAACAAAAACCCTCTTCATTAATACTGAAAAATATACATTTCCCATGCCAGAAACAATTTTTATAAAGATTTTCAAGCTTTTATAAAAACATAAATATTGTTGAAACTTGTTCACTTTCACTTATCTACATATGACTTCAAGCCTAGATATATATTTTTCTCTTAAATGTTCTCCGCTCACCTCCTCTTCTTCTCTTAAATATGTTTCACTCTGCCATGTTTTTCTTCTACTAGAGCACATAGTACTTCCACAGAACCCTTGCGGACCTAGCCAACATGACCATTCTTCATGTGTGGGCCTAAACAGTGAGCATCTGCAAGCTATTCAATTATAGGGACGTGAAACCAACTCCAATCTTGTTCTCACATAACGTACACATCTCCATCAGGAGGCACTGGATATCAAACAGGAGCTCAAGGATATCAATCTCATTCGGGTTTTGAGGCTGGATTTACATAGATTTACATGGAATGTACAACAAGGGCCATTTGGTCCAACTAGTCCGTGCCTGTGTTTATTCTTCACATAAGTCTTCACCCACTCCTTATTCCCTCCCGTTCCAACAATCTATCTCTGGAGTTTCTATATGTAAGTGGGATGCATGGAATTCTCAGTTTGTTTTGGATACTCTTAAGCATGGTGAAGGGTTTCTTCACGTGTCAGGCACCCAACTGACCAAACAAAATTTGCTCCCATGCAATAGAAAACATAGAACAATAGAAATTTACATCACAGAAAAGGCCATTTAGCTCATCCTGTCTGTGTCAGCTTCCTCAAGACAATCCTTTCAGTCACATTTATCTACCCATTCCCCATACCCCTGTAGCTTACGGGGACCATACTTTCTAAACCAAATCAAGGGACATACATACAAAAAAGGTGAATTTACCACAAAGTTTCGCCCTGCCCGGGAATCAAACTTAGGTCCTCTCGCTTGCGAGGCAAGGCCACTAACCAAATGTGCTCCACCATACCCTTTCTTCCTTGTGTGTATATCTAATAATAATCCTTGCATCTGGCATAAAGCCTTTCACACTGGGAGGATATCACAAAACGTGTCAAAGCATTTACTTTGAAGTGAAGTGACTGCGTGTTTGTAGGCATATGTGGCAGCACATTTGCACACCACAATGTCCCATAAACAAGCCGTGAAACAAGTGATTTTTAGGCAGGACACCGGGAGAATCTCCCAAAATGTGAATGAAATAAACATGAACTTATAGACTGGTTTCCTGTTTAAAAAAAAGCCACATCACCTCCTATGAAGGTAACCACCACTGACTTCGCTGTTTGTGCATACTATGTGCAGCAAAACCAGTAACTGCTCTCTGTAAGTTCTCAGGTCTCCCCTGTTATACGTAGACTCATCAATATGATTAATTCATCTGATGTTTAGAGGTTGAAGCTGATATCTCTTTGATGCCATGAGAGCATCAATAGGTTTGAATGGCTGCACTGAAGTCACTTTTAATCGTGAGATTTCTCTCTCCCTCTCTCCCTCTTTGTTACTATCACTCTCTCTGTGCCATTCTCTCCCTCTCTGTTACTCTGTGTCCCTCTCTGTTACTCCCACTCTCTCTGTGTCCCTCTCTATTACTCTCACTGTCTCTGCGTCCCTCTCTGTTACACTCACTCTCTCTGCGTCCCTCTTTGTTACTCTCACTCTCTCTGTGCCACTCTCTCTTTTAGTGTGAGGCTTCCATCAACTGTCCCGCTGGGAAAGTGTCTCCCCCCCACCCCCCCACACACACACACTTTCATTCAAATTAAAGTACACTTTTTTTTACAGTTCTGAGGGTTGTATCTCCAATTGATGGTAAATTAATAGAGCTTGACAAACCGGTGAATGCAGTACTTGACCCATTAATGGTATTTTTTCACTCAAGGTCAGTTACTGTATGGACCAGTGGAGAATAAGATGTTCTCACCAGCTGAGGTCCATAAATTTGCTGAGCTTTGTAGTTGAACTACCCCAATTGTCTTGTCAGCTTGTGAAAACAAGTTACCTTTACAACTATCTTTCTGCCAATATATTCAGTTTGCATGCAGATACAGTGCTACACCTCTCAGAAGCTCAGCAGGCCATCCTCAGACTCATGCGTAGTGTAGTCTTTCCAGCAGAGTTTAGTTGAAGTCCTTGGCTCACACTAATCTGGCTGGTTCAACTGTGGACAAATCTACGCCGGAAACATTCAGCAGGTCAGGCAGGATCTATGGAGAGAGTAAATGTGACTTAATGTTTCAGGTCGATGACCTTCTGTCAGAACTGGAGGATGTTGGAAGGGAGAAGTTTATATGGACAAACAGAGAAGTGGGCTGGAAAAGAAAGACAAAGGAAAAAATTAGGTGGAGGACAGGAGATGATGAGCTCTGCCCCCTTCTGTGTTTCCCTTCCTCTTCGACCATGCTTACGGCCACCTCTCCGCACCCACCACACCCACCCCCAGCTCGGAGTCAGGCTCCGCCACTATTAAACACTCTGAGACGCTATCCTAAGGGCAAGTTGTTGTTGTTGTCATTTGTCCTTATAAACTGCTCCCTTCCAACATCCCCCAGTTCTGATGAAAGGTCATCAACCTGAAACGTTAACTCAGTATCCTCTCTTCATAGATGCTGCCTGACCTGCTGAGTGTTCCCAGCAAATTCTGTTTTTAATTCAGATTTCCAGCATCAGCAGTATCTTTTGTTTGAATGAAGTCCATGCACTCTTGCTATTTCAGTAAATCTCATTCAAGGCATGGGCTGGATATTGCTACTTATTCTCAGTGAAGATGAAAGAGCGAGGATTAACACAGGAGCTGGCAGAAAACATAGTACTTGGTGTTAGTCCAGAGCTCATCCATCACGACTGAAGCTGAAATCAAGAGTAAATTCTACAAGAAAGGGGAATGTCAAGCCCAAAGCAGAGAGTGCAAGGAGTTCACAGTTACGCAAAGAAGGATAAAGGCAAGCTCAGTAACAGACAACCCTTTCTCTGTTCTCAATAACAGTTGCCTGAAGTGTGCTCTTTTAGTCATTGGACTGGAAAGTAATCTAATCACTGATGGCAGACTTTAACCCTTTCCTGAACTTGATTGGGTTAAAATGAAGTGGTTATTTTCCTAAAATAAGCAAATCATTTTTGAATAAATAATTATTCTTAATATTGTTTCTTGTTTTAATAACTAATTATGTAAAATTTTGAGGGCAATGGAGGGATATAGTTTGTGAGGTAGTTCAAACAGTCCTTCCAATAGAATCATAGAAATTTACAGAAGAAGGAGGCCATTCAGCCTATCAAGTCTACTCCGGAAATCAGAGAAAGCTGTTCATTCAATCTCACAGCCTTGCCTTATTCCTATACCCCTTTAAGCTTCTATTCTTCATAATAGAATTGTAGGATCCTTCTTTTACAAAGAAACTCGTTCTTGGAAAGAAAATGCAAATGCATTGATATATTCCTTCTTTTTATTTCTATGAACGCATTCTACAGCATTCTCCACGTGGTCAGAGGTCAACGGGGATGCAAGTAGGAAGACACAGTCTTCAGTAACATTGTCATATTTTCATAAATGTTGCCCCCTATATATCCGAGATGTATTTGTTTCAGAGGTAAGGTAGTTTGCCTATAATATAGTCACTGCATTTTACATTAAATTATGTGATGAGCTCTGAGGCCACCCCCTGCTTTGAAAGGTGCTCTATCAAATGCAAGGATTATTATTATTATCATCTCAGTCACTTTCTACTGTGAACCTTCCCCGAAGCTGTGACAATCGTTGTCCCGGCACCTCAGCTGTGATAAAAGCTTAGGTCCTTTCCCAAAATTTCACAAGAATGTGTGCTACATAGGGGATTCCCTGGAGAAATTTATGTCTACATCACAGTTTACCGGCAGCCACACAGTGGTGGCACTACTAGAACGCTCTTTAGATATCTCTGTGTAGACTATATTACAGAGAGTACTGCCATCTATACTCACCAATTTTGCCTACAAATGCACAGTCACTACACTTTGCAGCTCTTTGTGAAACTCTTTGAGACATCTCAACAATGTGATGAAGCACTAAATCAAATGCAAGGATTGTTATGTATTCTTAGAATAAATTCCCTCAAAATGACAATTAATGTCATTTGATTCAGATGAAAGAAGGTTCTTCACACCATTAATTATGTCCTTCAAGAATACCAATACAACTGCCATCTTATTTCAGTTTAATACCTCTCCAGTTTCCTCATATTACAAAGTGCCTTGTAATCTCTCCCACCTCTGATTGTTGTCATTGTCTCTTTAAAATACAAGCATACCATATGAAGATAATTTACATGAGGCAAAACATCTTGGGAAATTCTGCCAAGGTCTGTAAATTTGCTGCCCTAATAGTCAGGAGCATCTTTATTGTAAAGGGTCAAAAATATATGGTTTATGACTGTGTGAGTCTAAAAAAAATTACAGATAAGATGTTCTTGACTATTAATATCATGTCATCAAGATATCTCAAACGGTTTCACGGAATATACTGTAAAGTGATGTGACTGTGTGTTTTGTGGGCAAATGTAATGAGTTGCAGAGAAGTACTTCTAAAACAGAGCTGGTGACTGTGGGCCACTCTGTATGCAACGTTTTTCAGTGTTATTTGTCATGATTAACATGGAACTAAAAATAAGATGCAGTTGCCACTGAGCCTTCTGCTCTAGTAGTTAGAACATCCTAGCTAAAATTGAACATAATAATAATAATCCTTGCATTTGATATAGTGCTTTTCATGTCTTCTAGACGTCTCAAAGAGCTTTACAGAATATACTGTAAAGTGAATTGACTGTATATTTGTGGACGAAATGCAGCAGCCAATTGCGCACAGCAGTGTCCCACAAACAATTGTGGATTGAAGTGACCAATTTATTATTGATTTTTTTCTTGAGGGATTATTATCGGGCATGTGGAGTAAGGAAACTTGCCCAGGGTTTCGCCCTGCCGGGAATTGAACCCAGGCCTCTTGCTTGCCAGGCAAGTGCTTTAACCACTGAGCTACAGGACTCCACAAACATGCAGCTGGAATGTTCTTTAACATATAATCCATCCTTCGGATGAAACATTAAAACAAGGTCACATCTGTCTGTTCAGGAAGACATTAAAGATTCTACAACACTCTTAAAAAAAAACTGTCCAGTCCAAAAACACCCAATAAAATTAGTCTGTCACTTCATGGCTGTTTTGGGGACATTGCTATGCAAAAAATTGACCACTGCATTTATACACAAATAGATAGTTTAAAATATTACACTTTACAGCAGTTATGTGTGAAGCACTTTGAGACATTTTGATATCATGGGCTATTTCAAATTGCAAGAATTATTATTGATAATGTTTTGCAAATACAGCAGGATCCTTTTTTAAAAAAATGTTTTATGAATGGAATGCTGTTCATATAAATTTGTGTATCTAGACTTTATTGTGTAGAGGTTTGAACTGTGGCATTGGGTAATGGAAGGGACCAGGCAGGTGTCCACAATCCAACTCAGTCCCAGATTTCTAGTGTATGGAGAGAGCTATGATTATTATTTTTTCTTTGAATGGGTTAAAACTCAAATGTTTCCCACGGTCTCTTGGCAGGAACGAGAGTCAGATTCAGAGAGTGGAGCAGATGCGATCGCAATCAGTCAAAACCAGAAGGTTCATCTTGTCCACTCATCATTTGGATCTGGGTCCCCAAAGGCAAGTTCTGGGGCTAAACCAAAGACTGGGGTAAGTTTTAAAATGTTAAACAAGCCAAAGAATTCTGAGCTTGTACAGAAAAAAGACTGTGGTCATGTTTTTGTCATAGTGCTAAATATTTGAATGGTAGCTGTCCTTCGAAACTTGCAAAGCGTATACTTCCTGTGCTTAACATCAGCAAAAGCAAGTGTTGTATAGTAAAGATTTGTCTTTGGGACTGGTTTCTATAGTCTTTCAAGGCAGGTGACATTTTAGTGCTGAATTATGTTCTTGGGACTGAAATTAGATGGTCACTGTAAATGAATGATGCTTTCAGTCTTTGTTTACAGTCCTTAAAGCAAGAGTCACTTTACCTCTGCATTTTAAAATTGGGGTCTATTATACAAATTGTGCACATAACTTCCTACATAAAGTGCCATCAAGGGTGACCTAATGAAGTTGGCCATTATTTAGCACGGTGTGCTGGTTGGTATATGGGAACCTTAGTGGATGTGGTAGGGCTGATCGCCAATCACATTGGTTGCAATTTTATGGACTCTGAATATTGGGTTTTAATAGAGCTCTATTGTATTTTGGTGCAGAAATACATCTTATCCTGGTTAACATGAAAGGCTTAAGCAACTTTATTGACATTGTAATCAACAGAAAGAGTCCAAATTGCAACAGACAATCATTAACAGAAAGCACTTTACCTGAAACCTTTCCTACTATCTGTACTTTCCCTGAATCTCCCATTCAGTCAGCTGTGGACTGTGATTAAGGCTGTTGTGAAGCAAACTGAAAGGGACTAATGGAGGCAATTGTATTCACTTCAAAACAACTGTTTAACTGGAAATCCTACATTGAAGACAGATGTTATTTATTTCCCATTGAAATCAATTGCACTTCCTTTATATGGAGGCATTTTGACTGTGCAAGTGAATCATTGTCTGAGCTAAGCCAAAAATGCAAGAGCCTCGTTTATCTCCAACATAATGTACACCAAACATATCCTACAGTCTGGAGACTGGTGAGTCAGTCATTCATGTCAATTTTAATTCATAACAATCTTGTTGCACACAAACAAACAACATAAATATATACACATGTTGCCAACTTATAACAGGGATCAGAGTGGCACCCTATCAGAAATGACTATCTTCCCTCAGCACAATAGAGAAATTCCAGCTGGGTCTGGATTTATTTTATTTATGTAGCATTTCAGTGCATCCAGAATTTGGTAAATTCTTAAATGCAACCTTAATTTTGAAGCCACTTTTCTGTAAGTTCTTTTAAGAACTACAGGAAACATTTTTTGAAGTTAACAATTTGCTCTGAAATGCTACACAAAGTAAATCTAGCAAACCTTCTTTGCAAGCCATGAATAAACTCTAGCTCATTTAGTCAGAATCTGTTATATAACGATGGCCTATTTACAACACAGACATGTCACGAACACACAGTGTACGACAGTGTCATACCCATCTGGCTTTCAGCACAAACTGAAAAATTTCCTGCACATTAAAAAGCAGAAGGTCTCCTAGGATCCAGTTGTGTCCCAGCAACTGCTGGAAATGTTTGCAAGTTGCTGGCGGTGCAGCACAAAGGAAGTGATGTCAATAGCAACCTGGTGATGATCTGAACCACTGACCTGCAATCTTTTTTTCTGTAGTCCTGATAAAGCATAGGCTGATTTTATGAAGCTGAACCAATGTTTGCAACCAACTAATAAACAAACAAACTGTATTGAAGCAATGTGCTTTACATTGTGTTTGATAAATCCATCCCATTTCTCCTTTTTGTGACAAGGGGGCCCCTTTAAAAACAGGATGAACAAAGTGTCACAGGTACTATTAGGAATGTTTTTGCTTCAAACAAATGATTAGATATAAATCAATCTTTGCTTTTGGAATTGGCTCCGAGATATGTTTACTAATTTTTAAAAGAAATTGTCACCTTGTGAATGAGGCACTTGTGGTACTTCCAAGTGAAGCTTGGAGTGAAGTGAAAGTGTTTGTGTAGAATGTACTCATGTATTAGGCTGGCATTCTGTGCATCTGTCCAACAAGGCCTAAGAAAATGTGGCAATACCTGTAAAGAAGGTGCCTATGTGCTACCAATATGATGCTGGCACTGTGCTTGAAGGTTTTTAGGAGGTGATCGTTGATGTTTTGCACCTTGAGTTGTGATCTGTCACATTCATATCCTGTGTAGCAATATCTTATTCCCAGAATTGAAAACAACAGGTCTACTGCGCAGGATTCCAAGGCTCTGAGCATTTGAAGTCAGCTTTGGGTGCTACCATTACTCAGATTTTATGGAAAAGTGAGGGCGGGGGGGCATGTGTCCCTGATTTTGAGTTACTCTGGGCTGTAATAGCTGGTGTGACAATTTCTTTAAAATATTAGAAACGACTGGTCAGTTTTAGTGCTCAGAACAGTCAATGTGCATTTGGTTTCGTTTAGAGAGAGATTCGATAACCTAATTTAGACAGCCTGGGACACCATTGTACAGCCTGTGGACAGAGCAGCTTTCTATCCTGGGTTTACTGCACAGTACTGTAGGGCATTGCACAGTGGATTTATTCTGTACAAACTTCATGGTGTAAATAGGCCAGGCACAGTATTGTAATGAATGTCTGGTCTGGTCGGGTAAGCAAGCCTAAAGTGCCCTCCAAGTAAACAACATTGCTATCAGCAATAAACAAGCTTAGTGGTTGTATAACAGATTGGTGATTGAATAAGCACGCCCAGGTCAGCGAGTGGACCTCAGTGAATTATTGCTGTTCTGTCTGAGCGCACACATAGAATTTATAGTTTTGAAATTTATAGCGACTGGGGTCTTCAAGCGGTCCTTTCGAGTGGTCGTGTGGTACAGAGTATCTGTTTCCGTTACCTGGAGTTGGTTTCTAATGGGTGGAGTTTGTGGAGATGGGTAATGAAGCATTAGACTTTGATTACCACTTTACCAGGATTGCATTGACAAAGGGAAGAATTGAAGGCATTGAGATGTAACCAGCTGTGTAATTTAATTTAACCTTTCACATTGTCCCCAATATCTCAAGTTATTTACTCTCTGCTCAGAATCATGAACCCAGGTCAGACCACACAGAGGTGGCAGCATGGTATGCCTGCTTCACTTACACTGGGGTTTTCAGCTAGAAATGAAAGCACCAAGTGTTGTCCATCTGTTTAAAACACTACAGACCTCAGTAAAGATTCCACTTTTTCCTGTAAAATAATGGCCTCACTACGCTCAAAAATCTATTGGTTGATGGATCATACTGCCAGCATTAAGGCTCAAAAGCCCTCGGGTGGAATAGCCAGTAAAGTGTCTTGGGACATAAAGAGCATTTTATGCAGGAAAGACCCCCTCCCCCACATGACCCAAAATCATCTCAGAGTTGAATTGTCACAAGTCATTGAGACATATATGGGGCTTCCTGCACAAGACACACTTTACATCTAAAGGCACTTTATCCAATGCTTTCACCATTTATGCTGCAGTTTTCTCATTCAATTGCTTTTACAGCTCCAATGATGTATTGAGCCACCATGTCCTCACACTCTGCTATTCTCGCTCTTAGGGAATGAATCTCCATTTTTCCTGTTCAGTGCTCTAATTGCTTTGCTTTGCTGTTCATCCCAATGGAGTTGAGAGAGGGAAAATGGCAACATTTCAGGGGTCTGCTAAGAGTTTTTACCCTATTACAGAATGTACTTTATCGTAATAGTTTGGAACATGTTCACAAAAGAGAGTTCAGTAAGTACTGTTTTGTCCTGTACAGTAATCATGGATCATTTTTCATTTGAATTTTAGAGACACAACTTGTCATTGTTTCCATAATTTAATTGAGTTTCCCACAATCCCAGTTTGACACTGAGCTGTGGAATGTCACATCACTTGATCCAGATCAGTCTGACATATGTAATAAAAAGATTGAAAACAAACAGACTTGACCATAGACCTTCAAACAAACCCAAATAAAACAATAGGTCACATGAGTCCCATTACACAGAAAGTTATGCAGAATATAATATTGGGTTCTCCAATTTGACATATTTCTTTAACAGTTACTTAATAAGAAATTCTGTTTGTGTTCCCATTAATTTGCACAAACTTTTTTGTAGAAGTGGATTGTGTTCCCAAAGGTCAGCATCACATCAGTTTTAGTTTTCAGAAAGAGTTACCAGTGTCCCAACTCGGATTTCTTATTGAGGAATCCTACTAAGAAATACTCCAAACTAGACTGTAAACCCTAATTCACCTACAAATACATAGTCACTTACCACAATTTACAGAAAAACTCTGAAATATTTTTGACATTATAGGCAACGGAAGGATATTCTAAGGTTCATAGAATCATCTGTGCGTTAGGCAAGCTCAGTTGGTAGCATTCAGGCCTCTGAGTCAGAGGGTTGTGTGTTCACGTCCCACCTTGAAACTTGGAACCCATATAGTCTAAGGTAACATCGAGTGCAGTGATTTGGGGTTGTTAGAGCTGCCGTCCTTCGAATGAGACATTAAGAGTGAGGTCCTGACTGCCTGACTGGGTGGATGTTAAAGATTCCATGGACTATTCAAAAAGAGAAGAGAGTTTTACCAGTGTCCTGGCCAACAATCCCCCAAATAAAGTTAAAAATTAGTCATTCACTTCATGTTTGTGCACAAATTGGTTGCCGTATTTCCTCACAAAACAGTCAGTCCACTGAATGTAAGGTTTATTATTTTTATAAATTTATAGCACAGAAGAACATTCAGCCCAATGAGTGTGCACGTCTCTCATAATAAGTTGCCCATTCAGTTCCACTGCCCTACCCTATATCTACTGCCCGATAAGTAGTTGTTCAGATTATCTGGTAAAATAAATTTATTGTCCCACATTCATTTGCATATCAGCTTTAATATTGTGTAAATTTGTTTTAAGGATGTTGCTGTGGTAAAATGTCTTTGGGCAGAAATCAGCATCAATAATAATAATAATCTTTACATTATTATGGTGCCTTTCACATTGCGAGGATGTCTCAAAGCCCTTCACAAATTACACTGTAAAATGAAGTGAGTGTATTTTCCCAAACTACATGATTAGCCTACACTCAGTTGCATGAAACCTGAAGCCTTGTGGTCCAAGCAGTGTATTATATGTATCTGTACTCTCAGAACTTGTCTACACCACTTTTAATTCTTTAATGTGGAGCAACTGGCAGGCAACATATATACAGTAGCCAGGATGTTAACCTCAATATCTATATCACTTTTCAATATCGTATTTACGAAACAGGGAAGAGAATTTCTATCGGGCAAGATGGCCATTTTAATTTATTACTGGTATTAGTCTGTCAGGCAGCTGTAGAAAGAAGCGCATTAAAAACTTATACTATTAACACACATGAGATGATGAAGACAAAACTTTGAACAAAGCCTTGGGTGGTCAGTATTATCTGACTCTAGGCAACAAAAACGGAGATTAAAGCCAACAATTACCTGCCAGCCAGGCTGATACCTTTCAACAATGCAAGCAGTTCCAGGCACATGGCACCTACTAGCAATAAGCTCATACTTCACTGAAGGACCGAATTATGGTACTGGATAAAATAATTTCAATCTATGCCCTAACCTTCTTGAAAATTTTTTTTGGTCAGCCGGGTGTCTGACACATGCAGAAACCATGACTTATCCCCATGCTTAAGAGTATCCAAACCAAACTGAGAATTCCCTCCATCCCACGTACACTTGGAAATTCCAGTTTATGTTCTATCTGTTGTATTTAAGCTTCATTGCTTCATGAATGATACATTTCAGTGGTTCGAATTCTGCTTTAAAAATTGTCTTTGTTGGGGATTTTCAACTTGTGTCATCTGCTCCAATCGGAGATTTAGTCTCAATCTAGAGAGGTCACAATGACAGTTGATGTCAATCATTCACTTCACGGCTATTTGTGGGACATTGTTGTGTGCAAGTTGCATTCACCTACAAACTACACAGTCAGTACACTTTACAGTAAATCTTGTGAAGTGCTTTGAAATGTTCTTCATTAAAATAAAGTCTTTGTTGAAGAAAGCCTGATTTTTTTCAATGTTTGATGGGTGGCTTTTTTTATACATTGAGACTACATTCATTTTGTGGGCGTGAAGTGATTTATGGGTGAAGATGAGGACCTGAAATCGATCTACTTAGAGGACAAACTAGGCCAGTTGGTATTCCCCCTTGAGCATTATTTTTGTTTGAAATAGAGGACAGGACACATGTTTAATTGTCACGTCTCTGAATAACCTTACTTGCTTCATGAATAATCTACCTGTTTCCCTTTTAAACACTCCCAAGCTCAACATCAAGCTCCACCACTGTCAAGTGACCTGAGACACGACCCTGTGTGAAGGGTGCTATTTAAATGCAAGTTGTTGTTGGAAACGCAAATTGTTGTACTGAATCAGGGGTTTGCATTTGGGAGATGATAGCGAAGTGGTGAAACTATTGGAGTTGTATCTCTCTGCAGTATTTGCGTAATTTGAATTTCAAAAATGTGGTCACTTGAGCCAGCACCAGGAAAATGTTGAATTGTTGTAAAAAATCAATTGTTTCACTGATTTACTTCAGGAAAAAAAAGCTGCCAAACTTACCGGGTCTGACATACACATGATTCAAGTCCCGCAGAGCATAGATGATTCCTCTTGTCCTCAGTCAGGCCAACCAGGGATCTCAGTGGCACACATCCCAAAATGTGCTTAGAAACAAACAAACAAAAGTCACCACCTTCAGGAGGGTTAGATCATTGGAAGCCATATTTCTATTGGGCTGTTTAAAAACAAAGCAGTGAGTATTAGAATCTGGAGTTGCTGATTTATTTTTCCGATTTCCCATTTTGTGTAAGCAGACTCATTTTCACGGATACGTTTGCCAACAAAATACACAGTCACTACACTTTAGAGTAACTCCTGTGAAGCGCTTTGAAATGTTCTCCCAATGTGTAAGGCACTATAACAAATGCAAGGATTATCCTTGCATCAGGTTTATCAAAAAATGGCCTACATTAAAGGAGCCTGAAATCTGCTAACATGTGGACTGATGTGATTGAAATGCAAACATTGAGTGTGTGGGCTGAGATTTAGATGGGTACCATGATGGTATTAGATGTGAGTCTTTTATGTGACAGTGTTGAAGGGTAACATTTGCAAAGTCAACATTCACTAAAGCTCATTGAAGAGCTAGGACCAGCACTCGATTATCCATTGTATCGTCATTCACTCAGAATCCAGATTGATGGTTGTAATTGTGTTCTGACTAGAAGCTTCTGTCTGCAATTCATTGCTATTAGTCCTGCTGCACTGTAGTTAGAGGTTTACACCATTTTTAAAAATTTTTTGGGAACTATAATTGCTCTCTGATATATTTTCTAGTCTCAGCAGGCATGTTTAGAGAAAGTGAAACGTTGACGTGGATGTCTGTTGCACTGCTAATTTATGTCCTTTTCGATCTAGGGGTGACATTTGTGGTACTTTCTTCACTCATTCCTTTGTTAATTAACATAAGAAATGACTAAGAACTATTGAAAATCTGTGACTGGATATCTTCATTTCTGACATTGTTTTCTTTCATAAAAAATGTATACATACTTTGTACCATTTTTAACATTTTTATTTTTTTAACTATAATTGCTCTCTGATATATTTTCTTGTCTCAGCAGGACTGCTTTTTTGCACCTCCTCACCCTCACAAAGCTCCACCCCCATCACACCAGTCCTTGACAGGCTCCACTGCATCCCAATTACCAAACAAATTGATTTCAAGATCCTCTCACTTGATTTCAAATCCCTTCATCTTTTGTGGAAAAAGTTTTCAAACCTCTTCATGCCCTCACACTTCCTAACCTATCCGATTTGCTTACCCCCCCACTCCACCATCGTCTGCCTCCGCTCAGCTGGGTTTGGCCATGAAGGGAGTAAAATGTTGGCGGAAATCTTTTGTTCTATTTGTTGTACTGGCCTGACTTCCTGTTGATGTGTTAACTTGCATTATGTTTGTCTCCACACTAAATTTGGAATTGTTCAGGTCTTTCAAAGACACACTTGTTCTCTCTGAGTCAGTAGGTACGATTGAGAAAGGAGAGCCATTACCTGGGCTTCCTGGATTAAAATGTAATTACTTGCTAAATGCTTTTGCTTTCCCTGAGATGAGATTGTGCTAATCTTACCCTTTCAGTGGTTGTGGTGATGCAACTACACACAAATCACAAAAGATAATAGTCAAAAGGTTGGAATGGAAATATAAAATTAAACAATTGAAAGCTGGTTCCTGCAAAAAAAAAGTTGGATGAACCTTTGAGGTTTAAACTGACCTTGGGATCAAGTCAGAAATGATTAGTAATGTCACGGTTTCCAAATAGCCTGAATTCTCTATGGGAAAAGCTCTCAAAGAGTTTATGAGTTTGGCATTATATTAAACTCTGGTTTCGCTTTGGATTCTAAATGTGAGGTGGCAGATGTTTTCAGCAAACGTTTTGTAAATGGAAATGGATGCTGTTGCAGCCAGTTTGATATTTATTGTTGAACATCAGCCCTTCAAACATCTTCATTTTTAACCATCCATTCAATCAGTTCAGAAAATAGCTGACATTCCATTGAGGTCAATGCTAAAATGGATGTGCTCGTCTTGATTGACGGACAAGGAGTTACAGATCAATAGGTGAAGTTGAATCATCTGGTTCTTCAAGTAGATTTGACAATGACTCTTTCCAAAGGCAGCACCTCATTTATTGCAGTACAATTGGCAATAGTAACTGAAGCTTGTTCTCCAGAAAATACACATCTTTTGAAAATGTTCATGATAGTCTGAACAACTGGTATATTTTGATATAGTTTACAGGTATAAAATACATAATAATTATACTTGCTTATAATGTTGAAAGATCTCTAGGTGCTTCACATGTAATTGCTATTAAATGTTGTGACCGTCTATTTTATAAGCAAATGCATCAATGAATTTTAGCAAAGCAAAGTCCCACAAACAATCATGATTAATTTATCTAGTGGATTGTTGACCAGGACGCTGGAACAAACTTCTTTCTCTTTTTGAATAGTATTATTAGATCTTTCACTTTAAACTGAACAGGAAGATGATAAAACATTAAGAAAGGATCTTTAGTCCAGAAAAAAAATTCCAGGAATGATAACAATTGACACGTATGTAGAATCTTAACATTGAGTGGAAAAACCTCTTTAATGGAAAGTAGTA